AATGCATGCTCAAGTGCCAGCCCAAATTTATACTTGATCTCTATAAATGCACTTTTTCTTATTATTCTCTATATGCACATTATTTAAGTGTAGTTCCAAAGGCATGCACTTAGCATTGGCGTTAGAGAGGTTTAACTGTACATATCAATATTGATATGCACATACTTATATATGCATATATTTTATACAAAGATTTTTGCTAAGTTTGCATTTATTGATGTAGCTTCCCCATACATATCAATATCGATATTGATATCGATATTTCAAATTTAAGCAAAAATCTCTCATGCTAATTTAAATTTGTAATTTGCGATGTCTTATCATTATCGTTATTGTTATCGTTATCGTTATTGTTAATGTTAACATTAATATTAAATCCAAATTTCAAAAAATCTTATAAATATAATTCAATTTGCTTTTTCCTTGCTATTGCTATTTGTAAACTTTTACTATTTCAAGATTTATATTGAACAATATAACAATAATGGCAACTAATATATCAAAAGCTCATAAGTTTGATGAAGAATTAGAAAGAATTAATGTGCAACTTATTAAACAGAACATTAGTAGCAAGCAATTAACAATTGAAGAATTAAAGTTAGAAATCTCTTCTGTACAAGCAGAAAAAGAACAATTAGAGTTGCTAATTTCTGAATATGTTGATGATAAAAAAAAAAAAAAAGAACAATAATCAGCTTAAAATCAGACACCCAATTTGTATGTCCTGCCATCTTTCTCTATAAAATTTTATTATTTTATTGTTAGTATTTTTTTTCTTTTATTATTGTATATAATTATATCGGTCAGTGATATAACAATAATAAAAACTGAATATATTGATATTGATATCGATAGTGATAGCAATATATTTTAAAATTTTTGTACCACTATATATGTAATTTTATCTTTTTTTTGGCATTAGCAACTAATAAATTTTAAAAAATATGAAGTTTATATTCTATTTAATGTTAATTGTTTTATGAAAATTTGCATTCTAGCCTTTTTTTTTTATTAAATAAAGTACAAATAATTTTCTAAAACAAATGAATTTTTCTATATGAAGCTTGCTAAGAATAAAATTTCCTAATTTTTTTAATAAATTTTTGATATAATACAAACTAGTATGGATATAAAGAACTGAAAAAATTCATTTCTACTAATTTTAATTAGCTCAATTCCAATATATTCACAAATTGTAACTAGAATATGTATTGTAAATTTAGTAATAAAGAGATAAGGAAGCAATAATAATTATATGAATAAAATAAATAACCTAAAAATTTTAAAATCGGTCCAGCATTATTAAGTTAAAATTAAAACAAAGTGCCCGATGGCATCCTCTTACTGAAAAAAAAGTTAAAATTGAGACAAATATTATAACTTTCTGATATAGTGATTATTTGAATAATAAATAATATTAACAATTATCATTATTGTTATTAAATAAAAAAACTATACATAATGAATAATAACTTTACCATTATTTCTTTTAAAATATTCAATAAAATTAATCGTATGCTATCTACTCAGGTTGTTAAATATCCATCATCAACTTTTTGAAAATTATCATTATCGTTATAATATATTAAAAAGATTCTATTAAATTAACGTTATTATTATTACTGTAGTCCTATATTGAAGTTCTTAATTCAATTATCGATATTTTCATTTGCCTAAAACAACAATAAATAAAGTTAATTTATAATACCGATACCGATACAAAAATTACTAACGCTAAACTTATAGATACTAACAAATTATTTCGTAATAGGTCAAAATAAAAAATACAGTAATGGTACCTTTTAGATCCATTAGCATTTTTTTTTATCATACAATTTCTATCTGTTCCTATTAAACATGACTTTATAAATAAATTGGTGTGCTGTGTTTTTAGAATCAAATTCATCAAAGATGATTATAACGACACAGCATAACACGTGACTTATCTCTTTATCGGCAACGATCGACATAGTGAAATGACAAACTTGAGCGAAGATATAATGACAACTACCAAGCCAATTCGATGAATATTTTTTTATTTGAATTCTATTAATTTGTAAAATTCAAATAAAAAAAAGTTCATCGAATTGGCTTGGTAGTAGTCGTAATATCTTCGCTCGAAGTATGAAAAAAATTCAAACCGTTTATCAGACATTAAATTTTTTCCTATTATTTTCCTAAACGAAAATATCTCGACAACCGCTAGACCAACTTCTTTTATTTAAATTCGAACAATCTGTAGGATTTAAATAAAAAAGCTCATCAAGTTGGCTTGGTGATTGTCGAGATATCTTCGTTTAATTTATAAAAAATTTTAGTGCAGCTTCTATTTTGATGTTTTGAATTTTTTTCAAGCTTTGAGTGAAGATAACTCGACAGCTTTCAAGCCAATTTCTATGAACTTTATTTTATATGAATTCTACAGATTGTCGAGATTATCTTTGTTCGTAGCTTCTATTTTGATAGAAATTTTGAATTTTTTTTCAAACTTTGAGCGAAGATATCTCGACAACTACTAAGCCAAATTCAATAAACATTTTTTTATTTGAATTCTACAAATTAATAGAATTCAAATTAAAAAATATTCATTTAATTTGGCTTGGTGGTTGTCGTGATATCTTCGCTCCAATTTGTTATTTCGCCATTGCTGTGTCATTTTAATCACCCTTCATCAAATACTAACTTACCTATTTGTTGTTAGTCCAACAGCTTTAATTGAAATACGATAACGATAAGTATCATAGCGATTTTTACTTGAATATCGATGTGCAACCTTTTTTTGCCTGTAATTATGAATTTATTAATTTAATATTCTATTTATATAATACAATATCGATATCAATATACGGTAATTAAAACATCACAACTTACTTGAATAGTACATTTTTCATCAATAAAAACCAGATTTGTTAAATTGAGTAACTAGATAACGGGCATCAATTGAAATTTAATTCTAGGGCTTCATTAATATGGGTGCCTATATTACTGGTAAAGTATGTATTAGAATAATTATCATTATATAATTTTAACCCAGTAAGACATTAATTTGACGTACAATAATTTTAATAATTAATGAATGCGTTTACCCTTTCTGACCTAATGATTTATATTGCAGATCTTATTCATCGTCAGTATCAGCATCGTATTTCTAGTACTCGTATTTATGGTAGTTATATTCGTAAAATCTATTTCATATACGCAAATAATTATAGTAAATTAATACGGTCGAGCATTTTTTCAACCCAAGTCTTATAAGTAATATGACTCATACCTACCGCTACATATTTTTGATGATAAATTCTAATTTTTATAATAAATAATGCTTCACGTTCGTCATTTCTACCTTCAATTCCTCTATCATAACCAGTAAGGGCTTATACATACCCACATATTTTTAATAACAATGTTTTAAGTTCATCCTTTTCAACTCTAATTCCTCTTCATAATTAATATCCGCGAATTTTTTTAAATAAATAAATGTTTTATTGTTCATTTTTTTATCTTTAATTCCATATCGATATCTACAGATTTTGATAATAAATAAATGCATTATCGTTATATTCATACTTTTAATTCTATAATACATTAAACGTTTCTTTGATTATGACCAATATTAGCAAACTATAATAAATAAGCGCCTTACCTATCAACTCAACCGTAATTTCAGAATTTCTTCATTATAAAAAAATCTATATTCACTATCATTTTGATAATAAATAAATATCTTATCTTTCTATCTATCATTTTTCATTATAAAAAGATCTATATTCACTAAGGTTTGATAATAAATCTATGTTCTACGCCTATCTCTTCCAACTCCAATTTTATATTCGCAAATCGTTTGAATTTCTTATATTCGTTCCATAACGATAATCATTCTTTTAGTGACAATCCTGACGTATTAAGTTCAATATATATATTATAGCGATAGTAACATAAATATGTAATTACATAATGTAACACAAAATTTTTTACTATCGCTATTGTTTTATAAATAACCACGATTATAATTTTCTTTTTTTTGTAATACCTGATATGTATGCAAAAAATAATATAAGTAAAAAAAGAAGATTCAATACTAAAACCAAAGAATATTAAAAAGCTTACCGTTACAATTTTGTTTAATCTATTTTTCTTCGCTTGTTATGCCGATTATTTTTCCAATATGTTCGAATACGTTGCATGTCCCACTCAGAACTAAAATCATGAAGTTTATGCAAAGTTTCAATGGCTATATCCTCAGGAAAAGCATCATAATTAAGTATACTTTCAAGTACTTCTTTTTCATTATTTGTTGTAATTCGACGTTGACGCCTTATACAATTGTTGTTTTCATGATCTTGTTGCTGTGATTCATTGTTTTCAGTACGATTATTTTGCCTTTGTGACATTTGTGAAGGTAAAATAGCTAATTTATGTACTCTTACATTTCGTTTGCGGCGGCCTTTTGTAACACGAGCTTCAGTTTTATAAACATCTTGGCGCAAAATTGCACCAAGTCTAGCAATGCCCTTTTCATAACATTCAAAAATATTAGAGAACCCTTCTCTAGTCAATTCTTGTGTGTTTATAAACAATTCATGTGTCTTTGGATCAGGTAAAGAAAAAGCATTAAATAAATCATTGGCTAGTTTCCACAATCTTTCCTTTCGTGATTGCACACAACGATCCTCTTTAGCTATAACTGCATCACCCATATATTGTGACAATAGTAATTCTAGCCTTTCTCTCTCAGCCTGTACAGAGCTTATTTGCAATTTTAATTCCTCAATATCCATTGTTTTTCCACCGATATTTTGCTTTACAAACATAACTCCTAATCGCTCAAGTGCTTCATCGATTGCAAAATAGTGTCCTGGACGTGTTAGATTTACTGAGCAAACATGTCTTAGTAATTCTTGAAGATGTAAATCATCATTAACATAAGATAAAAAATAGGTCACTGATCTAGTATAATTTACCTTTCCAGAAACAGGAAAGATAGGTGAGAATGCAGCAAGATTTTTCATTTGCATTTCATAGTTACCTCTGCGAATACCAATTTTATGACCTATCCAGTACCCAGCCCAACAAAAATAACGATACCAAACTCTTAAAACATAGTTTTCTCCCTTTTCAATATCAGCCATAGTTTGATTTGTATTATGTAAATACTTACAAATTGCGATCCCAACAGCGACCCAAATTAACTCTAATACTCGGCAAGTGGCTTGGTAGTCTACGACCTTTTCTAGCTTGTCAAGAAAACGAACACCGAGGCTTGCTGCCATATAAGCAATGCCATAACCTGAGAATGTATTTATAAGAGCACCGCACATACTCCGTGAAGTGTGCCATTGTCCTAACATAGGTCTTACAACCTTATTTTTGTTTTTCTCTTTGTATGAAATTACTCGGCGAAAAAGTGCCTCATCACATACAATATCTAAGCATCCAGTGCTATTTACTCCTACATCATCGTAATATAAATCACATGCTTTGTGAATGTTCACATCGCAATTTGGACTATCGCCTGGTCTAAGTATTACAACATTCGGGTGAGGTACTTGACATCCAATTGATACTGTTTCTGAGATTTTGCTAAGAATATCACCCACATCCCAATTATCATTATTTGTATTTAAAAAGTTTTGAAAAATTGTTTCATATGAAGAAATAAGATGGTCAGTATAATCTGATGTACCAAATAATGATTGATGATTATCATTATTATTAAAAGAAACGTTATCGTTATTATTCACATGACTATAGCGTTGAAGTGGAGATGGCATGGTAAATTGGAATACCATTCTTAATGTAGCATGTACTGTTTTGCGTGTAGTATCATAGATATTTCCATATGCGAATGTTTGTTCAAAAAAATCTATATTGTCGATTACTGAAATATTCCAAATATTGTTACCTTGTATTAATCGTTCTTTTCATGTAGACGAACTTTTTCTAGAAGCCTTTCATGTTGTTGAGTATGTGATGTTACATTAGCTACACACAAAATATTATACAAATAATGAAGTAACTTTGGCTTTCGACATAGCGAACTCATAATATGAGTAAGCCAAATACTTGTTCCCGGAAATGCTATATTTTTTTTTTTTTTTTTTTTTTTTTTTTTATTTTAAACCGATGTCACGGTGCTAACGCTTTATTGTGTTTTTCAATG